AAAGCCCCGAACGCGCCCCGGCGCCGATGCTGCCGGACAGCCAGCGGGCGCCGGGGCCCCTTTCGCAGCTCCCGCGGCCCCTATCCCTCAGCTCTCAGATCCCCGGCCCCGCCCTTCCCCAGGGCGGCCCTCGGCGGAATCCGCCGGGGCCGTCGTTTCCGATTTCGTTGAGCCCGCAGGAGGGCCGCTCGACGCCCTACCCCCGGGGCTCTATTATCCTCACAGTCAACAGTCTCGAGGAGGACCGGGAAAGCGACATCCTCAGCCGAACCGGCGGCGCCAGTCCGGACCCAAACGCGGCGTTTGATGATAAATGGGAGGCCAAAGGGCCCTGGGGCACGCTACCCACGCCGTCCTCGCGCGGCACGAAAGACTTGGGCAGCCCACACGGCCTTGACGGCGTGCGGGCGCCAAACGCGCCGCCCGCTTCCCCGGCCGGCCCCACGCCGCCCCCGCGCGGTTTCGATCCCGCCCCTGCGGATCGTTCTGCTCGATGTTTCGCGTCTCCGTTGGGCGAAGTGAGCGGATCGACGGGCAGTGAATCGTCATCCCCGCGTACCACCCGGCACGACGTTCGCCCGAGCCAGGCGGATCCCTTCACCACAAGGCCCTCTGTTGACCCCATCGAGGCGAACGACGAATCTATTTCTACGCACTCCACGCGCGAACGCCATCCCGACGCCAACGATGACCCGAGCGACGCGCAGGCTACACCGTTATCGAGTAAAATGCAGATTTCCTCCTACAACCCATCGACTTCCCGGGCGGCGGATTCGATAGCGCAGCGGGTCGCGCAGAAGGCCCGGAAGAAGGAGCCATTCTACAATTACGATACCTATCGCCTCTACCTTAGCCAGCTCGATCGCACGAGTGCCAAGAAAATCCGCCGAAAAGCGGGGAAACTGATGCAAAAGCGCATTGAGAAAGACGTTTTTGAGGACAACCCACGGGGCAAACGCAAAGCCGCGGATTCATCTAGAGGGGCGCGCGCGGCCAAACGAACCAAAGCCGAGGCGACCGAAAGCCCTTCCCTATCGCTCCCGAGCCCGAAAAACGGGCATTCAAAGGACGATGGTCACGTCTTGGGAGCCCCATCCACGCCTTCGCCAAATTCATCGCACCAAAGTCGCAAACGCAATGCGGCATCCCGTACGACGGAACACGAACGCGAGCTCCCCATCAAGAAGGAGGGAACCCCAACCAAGCCGATAAGGAGGTTGTTCACATCCCCGTCAACTTCTTCCACCCACACGACGCGGACGAAAAATGAGGAAACGTCGCCACTGACGAGCTTCACGGGATCTCCAAACACCGACCTTCGGCGTCAATCACGCCGTCGTCCAAGGGTAAACCAAGAAAAAATTGACGTCGAGTCCACCAATCTCGCAAAGGAACTCTATCCCGCTAACTTCGAGCCGGGATCGTCAAACGTTGTAATCTCGCCGACTCAGAAGTCCACTAAGAATTCATTCGTGGCAGATAAGGAAAATCAATATCGGCTCCACCCTCAAAGCCATCTTCTGCAAACACGCAAAAAAAAGCATAGAAAAGGATCGGTGTAATTATGGAGGGAATAAACGTTGAAGCATAAAAATAAACCTTTGTTCTTATATAAAAGGTGAAGATGCAAACATTTAGATGTGTTGAGTAAAGCAGTTTCTAACTAATCATAGTTGTGCTCTGCTTTATTTTGTGTGGAAGCTGTGTATGAACATCTGAGTGTAGATTTGTTAGATTTTTTTTACCAATTTATTCCCTTTTTTACCCAGAGTTAATAGTATCAATTTTAGATGTTTTGATATCTCATTAAATATTCATATATATATATATACAAGGATCCGTCCTTGTGATATCGATGGACATCGGGTTTGATATACGCATACGTTTATGCGTTTTAGATAAAAATGCAGATACATCTTCGTTTTTCGATGACTATAAATATTTTATAGCTTGTTTCAAATAATGAGTCCTGATAGTTTTCTTTTTATTTATTGACAGATTAGATTTCATGGTCGGATAGAATAAAAATCATCATCGTGAACGCGTCCCCTTTGCGTCTATTACTGAGGTCCCTTTCCATTTTCATTCCCCCCTTATGGAGGCGCCTTTTACCAACCTCACTTTTTCCCCTTATCATTTATCCCTTTTCCAAATTCGCCTTAGCACGACCTATATA